ATTTGCTGTCTTAAAGACGCAATAGCCTATCTCTTTGGGTAGAAGTTCTCCAGGAACTTTGCTTATTCTTGCATTAAACTCTGACTTAAGTCTAACCCAGGCATGTGTCTATACAATACATCAGAAAGCCCTGGGAGACAAATCTCATGTGACTGTGTGTCCTTTATAATACCTAGTAGTACGTAGAAAATAAGTTGGAGGTCAAATTAAGTTCAATGAAATTGAAATGGATTCAATTTATTCTAAGTAAGCACTTTCCTATTTTCTGAGTTTCTCTTCCCCAAATTTAGTTGTACATTTTTAAGTAACATTAAATGATTTAAAGTAAATAAAGGAATAAACCAAATTATAGCTCCTATTTGAGGTCTTAGGGAGAAATTTCTAGTCCACAAAAGAAAAAAAAATCTTATCAAATCGTAATTAGCTAGATTAATAAATATATAAATCAAACCGCATAAATCCAAGACATTGACTGATATTTAAATGCAAAAGATAAGGCTTCCATTAAGCTACTCCCTAGGAAAGAAATATTTATTCTAGCATACATGTAATATTCTAAAAGAAAAATGCATGCACACAGACTTGAAGAGAACCCAGAAATATGAAAATGGGTTGATGTGCCAGGATAACGGGTTTGTGGAGAAATTATCCCTATTGTTTTCTCTAAAGCAAAGTGCTTCCACTCCTACTGCTACTTACTATAGTCCTTAGGTAGTTTTTTTTTTTTTTTTTTAAGAATACTGGCCCCAAGGGAAAGATTAGGCTTTCACTAATCAAAATTATTGGCATTTGAAAAATAAACAGAAAAATAACACAAAAATAGAATTTCTCTAGTAACAGAACTCATAATACTAATTAAAACTAACTTATAAGTCAAAACTTATTAACTTACAAGATTAGAAGAGCTTCTTGTTACTTTCTTTTTTTTTTTTTTTTTTTTTTTTTATAGAGGCATGCTTTATTTGTTTTTGCTGGTTTGTTTGTTTGTTTGTTTTGTTTATACATGCACTGGGTACAGTCAGAAGCGCGGGAGGGTGAGAGAATTCACCAGAGCCAGAGTGGGGAGCAGAGCAGGCAGAAGGACCGAAGCACACTGCTGAGGGGAGCAGCGGGCGGCAGGAGAGGTCTGCGCGCCATGTGGGACCCTCCTCTGGTGGCCGGGGAGCAGCCGGGGATCGAACCGGCGCCGCAGAGGCCGCGCGCAGCTTCGCAACCCAGCGCTCAACCGCTGCGCCACCGGGGAGGCCCCTCTTGTTACTTTCTTAAGAGGTATGGTGGACATTTGTACCTTTTTAAAAATACACCTTTGGCATTTTGAATCCCATTTATTACCCCCATGTAACAGGAGTTGGATTTTCATGGATTGAGCTCAAGTTTATCTCCTGCCAAAAGAGTATAAACTGCCAATTGTGATGTTCTTTAAATGTGAGATTGGACATCATATCAGGAACACTTCTTTTAAAGTTGTTTTGGAAGATTTTGTTTAGGCAAAGGCCAGGCGTTTGTAAATATCCTTGAAATAATTTATCACACATAAGCTTACTTTATTTTTTCAGTCACTGTGCTTAGTAGAAGTAGGATTTCTTATAAGCCAAAATGTTCCTTATAGTTTGAGACTCCTTTGGCTTGTATTAGCTTGTGGTCTCTTCTCCCATGAAGTTTTGGCAACCCTCACTTAAAAAAAAAAATCTCACAAGAAACCCACATCTGGATTCAATTGATTGGACTTTAACCAACCTTCATAGCAATATGCAAATAGTCGTCCTTATGGGTATACTTCATGCTGATAAAACTGAGGTGTCTTATTCTCAGAGCCCCAAACTTCTATCTTATTTCCTTCCTTCCTCTGATAACACAATCTTTCAAATAGACAGATGTCTTCATCCAGGATGCATCTCAAATGCCTGCCAATATTGCCAAAACACATTAATGCTGTACTGCATAACATAAACCAAGTAGATATGAAATTCCATCAACAAATTCACTTCATTGTGAGATAAACTGACTTGCTCCAACCGCTTCCATTCACAGATGAAAAGCAAATTCAGAACACGAACACAACTCTCTCCATTTATCTATTTTCCTCACTTAATTTCTCTCACTTTCATATGTCTCTCTACCTTCCATTCTCCCACCTGTCCAGAACATCAAAAAGTTTGCTTGTTTTTTATATCTAGAGGTTTTTAATTTCTTCCCTTCTTTTTAACTCTTCGTTGCTTTCTGTATTTTGCTTTAAAGATTTCCTTATTTTTCATGATCGCTTTTAAGATGTCTAAACCATAGAGATTGTTTTAAGACTTGGAAACTGATTCAAGATACCCAAAAAAGGTAAAATAAAAATTTTGGCATGCTAAACTTTCCAGAATACCTAGTAGTCTGAGTTTCTTAAAATCTGGAGTCAGATGCTTGTAATTGTAAACTTGAGAACTTGAGGACAGCTGGTCAGCATGATTGTATATCCTTAATTTCAGTTCTAAATATGAAATAATATGCCTACAAAAATATTCCTGTTGATGGTCTCTGCTCATCCGTTTGAAAATTCAAACTCAGATATATCATTCTATTAGTTTTCTGACATCCCCACCCCCACACCCCCAATTCCAGTTCCATATGAATTTAACACAGGTGCAGATTTGGACTTAACATAAGGGAGCAATTTTCTGATTCATTTGTGTAAGACCCTGAGGGAAAGAGAGAACAAGATGTACCAAGGTAATATTGCATTGTTAAAAAATTAACTTAACTTGTTTTTTTACTGAGGCAAGAATACCCATATGCAAAAGCTTAGATACATAAACCAGGCCTCGCATATTATACAATTCTCATCTTAGTCACGATTTGATAGCATTTTTAAAAACACATTCTTAAGAAAATGATTTTAAAGGCATGTAGGTATACAGATGACTATTTTTTATTTTGTTGGGCTGGGGGAGGATCAGTTCACATTGTTTCAGTTCTATTGGGGGCAGGGATGCAACAGTAAAAATAGAGTGATCATTCCCCCCAGGCACATTGCACTGCAAAATCCTCTCTTGTTCTAAGAGGAAATGGCATGTTGGAACACATTTTTTATTATTATTTATAAAAATTCTTGGGTTTTATTAGCTCAGGGTTTGGTGAGTCTTCTAACTGAAATGTACAGTTATTCAGTGCCTAGCAGCGGAATGGAGAGAGAGACTAATTAGCATAGTTCTTACATCACCACTGGAAATTCTTTATCTGCCCTCAGGATCCACATTGCTGTGTCTGTTCCACACTGTTAAATATGACAAGGTCAGTAACCCTGTTTTCGTAACAATGAATGCTAACAAACTGGAGCCTCGCACACATTGTCATTGTTTAGCAGGGTCAACTGAGTTAACTGAGCGCATTAAGCATATACAGTACAGAGAAGACCCCATCAACAGTCAAATATACAATGTTATATATTAGCATAAGTAATGGAGCAACAGATGGCTCAGCTGTTAGCAAGTCAAATTCACCCAAAGATTCTGCATTGGCAATTGAGTGGTAAGAATTTATACCATGGATTCTAATTTCACCTCCGTTTCTTCCTCTCTAAAGTCTCAGTGTCCACAATAATAGAATGAGAAGTCAGGCTAGATGACATGGAAAGTGCATTTATGCCCACAAGTCTATGGTACTAAGGCAGACCACAGGATACATATGTTGCCAGTATCATATATGTCCAGATAAAAACTTGTACATGTTTATAGCAACATTATTCACGGTAGTCCCAAAATGGAAACACCCCAAACTGATGGACAAAATGTAACATAACCATACAATGGAATATTACTCAGCCTTAAAAAGAAATAAAGTACCAGGACATGCAACTATATGAGTGAACCCTGAAATTAGTATACCACGCAAAAGGAGTCCATTGCAGAAGACCACATGATATGATAGTATTCATGTGAAATGTACAGGACAGTTATATCTATGGAGATAAAAAGAAGAATGGGGACCTCCCTGGTGGCGCAAGGGGTTAAGCACCACACTATAAAGCAATCTGCAGCCTCTGCAGCATGAGTTCGATTCCCGGCCAGCCAGGTAGCTACCCACATGGTGAGGCAGACCCCTCCTATCTCACCCGCTGCTCTCCAAGGCAGTGTATTTTGCTCAGTCTTCCTGTTCTGTTCCCCACTCTGTCTCTGGTGAATCCTCTCACCCCCTGCATCTCTGACCTTTACCCCTGCTCTTGCATGCATAAATAAATCTTAAAAAAAAAAAAAAGAAGAAGAATGGTTGCCTAGGTCTAGAATGGTGATGGGAAGTCCTGGAGGGCAAGTGGGAATGGCTGTTGATGAGCATGGGATTTCTTTTTGGAATAATGAAAATTTTAAATGCTTGTGTTGATGGCTATACAATTTTGTGAGTATACATTAAAACCACTGTTTTGTAAACTAAATGGGCGAATTGTATTGTATATGAATTCTAGCTAAATAAAACTATTACATTTTATTTTTTTTACATCATTGTTCATTTTTTAATTTTTTTATGTTTTTATAATTTTTACATCATTTTTCATTTTTGCACAATGTATGCATTTTAATCTTGGTTATAGACCCTATACAATTCCCACCCCACCTTGTTTTGATCCTACTCCCTCCTACTCACCCTGTAGTGGGTCTCTGGTTTATAGTTGCTTGTTGATTTTGATTTTTTTCTTTATTATAATTAGTCTTTTTCCTGGTGCCTTATTTAGGTTTTTTAAATTCCTGCTATGAGTGAGACCATCTGGTATTTTTCCTTTTCTTCTAGCTTATTTCACTGAGCATGATCCCTTCCAGCTCCATCCATGTTGTTGCAAATTGCATGAGTTTATCTTTTTTGATTGCTGAGTAGTACTCCATTGTGTATATGTACCACATCTTCTTGATCCAGTCATCTATTTTTGGGCATTTGGGTTGGTTCCATAGCATAGCTATTGTAAATAGTGCTGCTATAAACATAGGGGTGCAGGTGCCCTTTTGAATTAATGATTCTGTGTCCTTCAGATAAATACCTAGGAGTGGAATTGCTGGATCGTGTGGAAGCTCCAACTCTAGCAGGTTGAGGAATCTACACAGAGGTTTCCATAGTGATTGGACCAGTTTGCACTCCTGATGAGACTCAAGAAAAACAAAGAAAATAATCTAGTCAAAAAATGGGCAGAAGAGCTAAAAAGAAACTTCTCCAAAGAAGAAATGCAAATGGCCAACAGGCATATGAAAAAATGTACAACATCACTTGTAATCAGGGAAATGCAAATCAAAACTACCATGAGATACCATCTTACACCAGTGAGAATGGCACATATTAAAAAAAACTAGCAACAACAAATGTTGGCAAGGATGTGAAGAAAAAACTATTACATTTTAAATGCACATTTTAAAATGTATGTTTTAAAAAATGTGCTTCCAGTATAGTTTCATACGGTATGAATACAATGGAAATTTAATATAGTACATTTTGTACTGAGTTTCTATTTGTATTCCTTTGGCATTTGGCAGACAGGTAAATAAAACTGAATTCCAGTAGGTCTGGTTACCTCAGATGGCATGTGGAGGGGAAATCTGTGCAAGTTGGATAAAGTTATGAGTGACGTGTTCCTTAGGCCTTGTAACATCAGGAACACTATAATATATCTACTTATCACTTTTCTGAGAAACTCTGTTTAGATTTCCAACAGGAGCTTATGACTCTTTATAATTCCAGTGCAATAAATATTATTTAGTTTATTTTTCCAGTTTGAGAAATGGTGTCATTTCCAATTAAGTCAATGTTAAGATTATTTAAAAACTTGACCATCAATAACTTTTTCATTTATGTTAAAATTTACTTTTTTTGTCAACAGACACACAAAAAACAATTCATAAATATCAAATAAATACTAATGCAGGGTGAAACTATGACAATTGCCTAGAAAGAAGAAAACCCAATATTCTATAAACATGGAACAAGTTTCTTTTGGTGGAAGGAGGGGAAACAAGGATAAAAGAAAAAAGTGTCTAATGGAAAAGTACTATAAAGTATTGAAGATTGGCATATAAATAAGGCAAAAAGTATGAAGGAAGAAGTGTTGCTTTTAAATCCATTTTAGTATAAATACACATCTTAGAAAACAATTTATTTTTAATGCAAATTGTTCTAATGTTATAGTACAAATTTCCTTTACATATCATATTGGTTAAACTACATCTTTTCAACCTTAATTTTTTATATTAAATTGTAATGTTTGTAATGGGTTTTTTAAATGCTTGATGCAGTGTTATTATTCTGCAGCAAAACATTTCTCAGACGTGCAACGTTATTTTAAAATAAATCCCTCAAGATGAACATAGTTGTTCGAGTCCCTTGAAATTTATGTCATTTAAGAATAGACTTGTGTTTTTTTAGCGCAGGAGCTCTTCAAGGGAATTTTTGGCTGCTGATGCAAACGTTAGTAAGCAATGCACTTGTTTGGTTAAGACTTTTAGCCTTGACCTCTGGCTTGAAACCCTTGTCCTTTATTAATCACGTGTTTCCTGAATCAAAGAGAATATTTTTGGAGGGGGAAAATTGTTCTGGGACTGACGGAGTGTTATATACCAAACAGACATGCCCAGATGACAAATAACCCCTGCATGATAGCCAGGGTTCATCCAGCTGGTCGGCCCCATATTTTGTGATTGATGGTGTTGATGTTCTAAATAGGCCTAAGATGTGCCAAGTATAAGAGCCATAACAAAGTCCTTCAGATTTATACTGTAGATAGAAGGAGGAAGCGAGAAGGCATGTTCCCAGCACATGGCAATTCTAAGAATGGTGTCATGATTACAAATAACCTTGTAGGATTTGTCTGGTTTCTTTCGAAGTTAAACAAAAACTATTTTCTGGTCAGGAATGAATAGGGTCACACAGGGTCTGTCTGAACCTTACGATTACTGAAATGTTTCTCTGTAACTGGACACCTTCTGAAGCTAGAATAACATTGGAATCCATCGTAGGAATCAATACACTGATTTTCCCTTTGCGTTTTGAGGCTTCTAAGAAAGTAAGTATGGTTCTTTGCTTTAGAAAAGAAAATGACATCATGACATATATTAAAGCTATTACATGTTCCAAGTTAAAAAAAAAAAAAACCTTAAAGATTATTTAAACTAACCCTACTACCCTACTCTCTTTGCATTTTAGAAAGTGGCATGGTTTTTTAATAAAGGAGAGTCACAAGAACTTGTATATGAGCTTTTAAAGAAGAGTGATAATGATAGCTCTTATAATTTTCAAGAGGATATGAAATATAACTCATAGACATAGGAAGCTGTTACTCTTAGTTTGTGAGACTTTTGTTAGTTCATATTCTTATGTTTATGTAGCAATTATTTTTGTGAACTTTTCACAGCACAGGAAGCAAACTCTGGTAAACTAACCCTCATCCCTCATCTCCTCTATAAAATTGCATTTACTAAATTGATTCCATTGGGTGCTTTAAGGTACAATACTAGGAAAGTTTATGTAAACATATTGTTCAGGATAATTTCTATATAGATATTTTGAGAAACCTCTTCCTTATCTTAATATGGAAATAGTTGTCTTTCTCTGAGACAGTATATTTACATTTATCATAAGGACTCTGAGGTATGCATGACTAAGGACATTTCCTTATTTGCATTGACCATTAGAAAGTGTTGGACCTCATTTGAAGCTCACCTTTAATAGTAAAATAAAGCTTCACAGTGTATGTTTTCATTTCTAGTTCACTCCTGGATCCATTAGTTACTATAATATCTTTTCTTTTCACTGTGGGTTTCTCACTTAATTGTTTATCTTGCTGTATCTATCTTTGTGAGTCTCAAGTTTTCTGGAAACAAAAGAAAATGATTAATTAACAGTGTTTTAGTTCCTATAAAAACACATCACCTTTAACAAAATTTAGAAGACTTTATAAGTAGAAATACTAACAAAATACAAAGTTTGTTGAATAGACATAAATAACACAATGGCTAAATATGACAGAATATTTAAGGTCAGTATTGTAATCAGATACCCCTTATGTTGTCATCATCAATGTGAAATTCTACCTCCTACTAGACTGTGGCTTTACCAACCAGGGAAGCCAGTTAGATTCTGGCTAATCTTTATAATAGTAAAGATATTATAAATATGTATGACTATCTAGAAACTAAAAGTTGATAGTGTACACAAATGAAGGAAATCAAATCATGAGGTTATTACTTTTTAAATTTTTTATGTAGAAGAACTAGTGTGTAGGTTAGAGGTACGGGGGGTGAGAGGATGTGGGGAGCAGAACAGGCAGATCTACTGAAATACACAGCAGGCAAAACAGGAAAAGTCTGCTGTCCCATGTGGGTTAGCTTCCTGGCTGGGGATGGAACTCAGGCCCTAGTGGTGATAGCGATGAAACTTAACCCCTAGGCCACCAAGGAGGCCCCCATTTATTATATTTTTGTGAATCTATATTAATAATGCTTATAATAATAGTAGCAAAAATGTTACAGAAAGCTTTTTTAGTGAAGCTAAAAAATTGTCCAGCTCTGAAAACAATACTCAGAAGATACATGTATAATTACCTAATTTGCCAAGATCCGACTTGCTAATAGAATAATTTAAAAACTCTTTAAACACACAAGTTATGGGACAGCCTCTCATGGAAAACATCCAGAGTTTTAACAATAATATACTCCTTATGGCTTAAAGAAACAAAAGTGAAATCTTCCTCTCTATTGTAGTTTTGGAAAAAATATAATGTTACAACATTCTCTTTGGTTTTGTTTTCCACTTTTGGCACATCACTGTTTCTGTCATTATTGTGGTTGTTATGTTGAAAAGTGCTTTATATTTGCCCATTAGACTACAGTGAGGCTTTTCATGTGTGGGAAATTTTTAGTTGCCTGTATCTAGTTTACAAATACATAAACTAAGGCACACATTTAAATAGTGACTATGGCACATTGAATAGTGTGACTATGGCACCCATTAAATAGTGACTATGGCACATAGCCAAGAATGAAGTGTGAGATCACCTGACTCAGGATGATTCACTGTGACCACAGCCCATGTCTCCTGAAAGGTGTGGCCAGTGATGGTCAATTAGACCTAGCCATGTAAATACATAAAGATGTGACCATCATGAAGAATTCTGCTGCAATGCAACTGGAGACATTTTAAATCTCTACATTATCTTCAGATGAATGTTGATACAGCAAAAAGTGAAAATAAAGACCCAACGAAGACCACGCTGTCCTCCCATTGGCAAAAGTATGAGTTTAGTCACAGTTTGTTGCAGTATAGTGCAGAGCTTTTTCTACCTCTACATATTAGAATTTTGACAGCTATAATCAGAGTGTTAGTTCAGATATTTATTTTCAGCAAAGATAATTCATTATGAAGACAATCGATGTGCCTGTTTTAAGGAATGAGAAGTATACAGTAGTAAGTGCATATACATGTTACTATGGATATTATTTGCAAATGCCTTTACTTCCAACAAGATTCTGATTATCCCAGTTTACCTCTCCACTGAGGAAGTGATAAAACTCTTAGCTAAGTTGTGGCTAAGGAGATGCTCTGAGATCTGAATTCTCTTTTCCTCTGAGTTCTGCTCATCTCTTAAGTCAGCATGTTTGTGATGGTTGCTGGATTTACTCAGTCACTGATGTTGCAGTTGCTCCAAGTTCCCTTGTAACAGGGATTAGCTATTAATAGCATTCTTAAGGAAGTTTGCCCTTTTTTCCCCAACTTCCTCAGAGTAATTCTGTCCTGATTACATAACAGGCTGGGAATGCCTGCTTTCTCTATTTGTTGCCCTACGTTTGCTCTAAACACTGTTATAATCATTCCTCTGTGTTCTCCCTCTGAAAAATAGAAGAGCTTCTATTTTGTACCTAGTAAAGGGACAAGTGGATTATAGAACAAAATTAAACTCCAAAAATACATGTCATGATTCTACCCTGCTATCATTTTAAATAAACACAACATCGTGATATATCATCTTTAACCATATTGCATATGTAGGGACCAGCTATTAGAGGACTCATCACGTTCCAGATTAGATTCTATTTTGCCTCATGGTGAGTCTTTCGTTCAACTTACTTTCCATGTTGCTGTTTCCTTTGCACTAAACCTCCGCCCACTTACTGTTTCATCAAGGCACCTATGAAGTCGCAGTCCTTTTCTTCTTACCATTCCCTGGGGCACCCTCCTCTATTCCTTCCTCTTTAAGCTTTTATTTGTTTTCACTTCCAATTACAGTGATTGTGCAGTTTCCCTAAGCACTTTACTCAGAGGCTCTCTACAACTATTCCAAAGGGCCTAAACTTCTGTCTGTCAAAAATGGTTAATACATGAG